GCCGAAGACCACCAAACCCCCAGTTCTATAAGCCTGCTACGGAGGCTAATCAGAAAACAGCCGAAGACCACCAAACTCCCAGTTCTATAAGCCTGCTACGGAGACTAATCTGAAAACAGCCGAAGACCACCAAACCCCCAGTTCTATATATAAGCCGCTAGACACAAAGGTTTACTGCGTCAATCTGTAAGTCGTGACTGGGCGTGGCGTGCTTAAGCACGGTTTGGTGCACAGACTATAAATTCCCAGTATCACCTGCCGACGGCAGATCCGCGTGTGGACAGGTGTGCAGCACAGGTGAGTGTCTGTTTCCTTCTTCCCATTGTGTTTTAGCCGAACGTAACACATTGTGAGGTGTGTGTTTTATCCAGAACTGTGCTTTATCCAGAACCGTGCTTTATCCAAAACCGTGCTTTATCCAGAACTGTGCTTTATCCAGAACGTGATTTATCCAGAAAAGTGCTTTATCCAGAATCGTGCTTTATCCAAAATAGTGCTTTATCCAGAACTGTGCTTTATCCAGAACCATGCTTTATCAAAAACCGTGCTTTATCCGGAACCATGATGAAGCACGGTTCTGGAAAGACCACGCGTATCCAGAATCTACATTCGCGCAGACTATCCAAAACCGTACCTCATCCCAATCCTATTACCCATTCAGACCGGGAACTAGACACCCACGGTTCTGTATAAAATTATAGTGCGTAAAATAAAAATATTGGTCTCATCTTTATATTTGAGTTGAACCATTTTTTACTCATGTCAATGGTTGTTAGGCCTAGTGCTTAATTACTTCATAGGGGCTAGTATAGAATGGCTTTGCAAGCACTCGATAAGGATAAAATAATGCAGGTTGCCTGTAATATACTAATTTGTTGAGTAATATGCCTTTGTGTACTGTTACAGTGAGTACGTACTGTTATTGGTTCACTGCACACCGAAGATAGGTGTTACTGGTTCTCTGTGAACTGAAGCCAACAATGAAGTCCTAATATAGCATTACTGGGTTTTCCCAATGTACTGAAGCGATACTGCCAACAATGCAGTTCCATACGTTGGCTCTTGATAATGAAGTGCTAACGTGCCTGTTGGAAACGTCAAACATTTCGCCCCGTTGTTAACAACATTCTACTCAAACCACGGAACCAGCCGTGGCAGAGTAAACGGTTGTATTTGTACACGTCATCTTGTCACCTCAGAGACATGTCGTCCTCACCGGGCAGCCCCAAGCAGCTCCCCCGGGGCAGGTCGACTCACGGCCCGACTAAAACAGCCTGGACGACCCGGTACGACCACCTACGGCCTCGGGGATTCCTAACCGGGAGGACCTGGAGCAGACAGCACAAGCCTAAACAGGAGGCTGTGGCGAAAGTATGGACGGAAGACTTCGGAAAAAGACCGGTAACGAATTTAACTTAAACCTTCTGATGCTAAAAGACGATTCTAGTTTATCTTTTGTACTATATCCTCATTTCATTACATGTGAAACATTCTGCGTTAATACTATTTGACAGGGACAGGGACATGTATCTGTATTTGTATTTATTGACAATGACAATGAACTTTATTGCATGTTCACGCCCTACACGGGCCAACTGCACTTAAGTTAAATAACTTGGTAACAAGAATAGAAACAATTGTTACATCCGTGTGCTATTTCTCTATCTACAGGATCTAACTACAGGATTTATTATGTAAATGCAAGTATGTTTGTTTTCCTCCAGATCAGGAAAACGCGTGCTGCAAAGTCTTTTGTGAGGCGAGATTTAGAGCCCCTGTCTGAAGAACAGGAACACAGTGGAACTGAGATGAAGGTACTGAACATTAGACGTTTTTGTGTAAATAAAAGAGAAGTTTTGGCATAAATACAGACTGTGACCTGATATGGTCTACCTGCCAAGGGTAATGATATATGCCCCACCTAGCTGCTGTGCGGCGGGTTCTTTAACATGCTTACGGTGTGGATTACCCGAAATGCGGAACTACAGATTGAAGGTCGGGATTCAAACTCAAGACCTTTAGAATTCGACCATTAGGGCACGGTCACATTTCCAAGTCGGGCCCGGCCGGGTTGTTTGCGTGAGCGAAAAATAATATAAACATATATAATATAATTTTCGTTCCATACGACTGCCCGGCCGGGCCTCGGCTTGGGAAATGTGACCGCGCTTTTATCTTAATTAGTGGGAATTCTCTACCTTAACCAAACATGCTATCTGGCTTAGACGATGCTCTGACATCCCATATAACAAATCTTTTGTATTGATCCTTTGTTTCCATCGCAGGTCCCACTGAAAAGGCAGCCGAGCTGTGACTCCCTGTTCGGCGGGAAGCAGGTGAAGCCCGGCGCCGTGTGGAGGCCGTACGGCCCGCCGCTGTACGGGTACGGCTCCTCCCTGAACCCGCCGCCCAGGAAGCGGCCGGACACGCTGCTCATCCTCGCCGCCATCTTCTACTGCCTGGCCGTCCTGACAGCGGTGGTGTTCGCTGTGCTGTTCAAGACCAACGTCATACCAGGTTAGTAGTTTTTGTTTGACTTCACCTAATCACTTTTGTCACGTTTTGTGGTGAGATTTATCCTACAGATTCCATGAGAACTGCAGAAGGTCTTTTTCTAATTGCAGATAGGATGCAGAATATAGTAGAGTGGATTTATTCCTCAAGCTAACCAAGGAGGTTAAATACAAGATTTTTGATTTTAACTCCATGAGCTAACCGACCTTTCGCTGTCTTTTCTCAGTAAGACATCTGGATCCACATAGTTCCCGTTTAGAATTTTTATTCAGCCTGTCATCAGATACGATGCAAAGTTTGAAGAATGTTGCCTGAAAAAATATGATTTTAGTATTCGTTGCACTTTATTCCCCACAGTAATCCGTATTTTTAATCTTTGGCAGTATACAAAACTCCGGAGCCGGTACCTGTGTGGATGCAGCAGTTTCCCCCGGAGATGCAGAGGTGGTACCAGTTGGCGCTCCAGGCCGCCGGAGGGGACACATTAGCGATACTGCCGCCTGGATACGTGCAGCAACCGACCGATGAGACTCCCGTTCAAGAGTGTGCGTGTCTTAGCAAAATTCAGAGTAAATGAAATGTGTCAATACATAACCGACTGTTGTATCCAGAACCGTGCTTTATCCAGAACCAGCAGGCTCTGACACGGTTCTGGATAGTTCACGGGTATCCAGAACCGTGCCTGGGGCAAACCTACATTCTTGGATACTAGTGTTATCCTCGAACTATGCCTGATCCTAACCCTACCATATATACATGTATGTAGAACTAGAAACTCACGGTTCTGGATACAAAAGTGACCTACTGCCAGCTTTCTCATGGCAATGCTGACTTATCGTTGTTTTATACTGTTTTATCGATGGTGTCGCTTTCCAATTCTGAATGTTCTGATTTCTTTTTTTTCTAGTTTGTGGAAACACGTCTCTGCCCGACTTGCCCCATGGCCACTTCAACTGCACCAGTATCGCCCACCATAACATCTACGTGCGCATGTGCATTGCGAAGTGTGACGTGGGCTACCAGACCGATGACGCGGGCCTGCTGTTCTGCAAGCGCGGCCGATGGTCGCCGATCGCGCCCAAAGTCTTGTCGACACTCGTCGGCGTCGGTCGGGCTGCCGACACGATGCCGAACACCGACCCTCGGTGGTTCGAGCACCTCGGCATCTCCGACCAAATCTACGCGGACGTGGCGTTTAACATTTTAGTGAAGGTTGATGACGTCCCAAATCTGTCTATCATAAAGACATATCTAAACATTATCTCAGAGGACAACATCATCGACTTTAACATGATGCGGCAGGTGTTGATTTGGATTGGCCCAACTCTAGACGACAAAGTGGCCAACCTGGACTTCCTGCATATTCTGTCTCGCCTAGGTAGGTAGAGTATCTGTATATTATAAGTAACACCAAATTTAATCAAAGTGTTTCAAATTTGTAAAAGGGACTGGTATTACCATTGTTTGACAAGCACATATAAATCTTACTCTTACAGCACATACGAATATACAGATGATAATATAATACAAACCGAGGATAGTGAAATAACTTATCTACCGTTCTGTTTGCAGAGACGTTTGGGGCGTCCAGACGGCCGGTATGCAGAATCGTGGACTGTGGAAGAGACTTTGAGGTACTTGTTTCTAATTTCTAATCTAAACGGGAAATAAGAATTTAATCATATACACTAATATGTATGTTTGGGACTTTTCTTGAGATATAATTTGTACTATGGCCCCAAAATACCAAGAACAGAAAACACCACTATATCAACTAAGCAACAAGGTCTTTTGAAAAAGTTAATGATCCATAACCTTCACCAGAAAATAAACTCTAACTAAAATTGCTTATCACATTGAAACAACTTCCTTCTGTTTTGTTTTCCGAATAAACTCTCCCTTTCATCCAAGAACTTAGCTCATGGCCGAGTCAACAGCACTGCGACCACCTACATGTCCGAAGGCCGAGTGGTCTGTGAGCGAGGCTACCTGCCCCGGCACCCTGTACTAACGTGCAACGCTACAGGACACTGGGACAAACCTGCACAGTGCGACCCTGGTAGGGTGTTATTCCAGTCGTATAATTGTTGTTCCCGTCGTTATCATTATGGCCTTATCTCCATCTACATAATAATTTCAAATCTGGCTTTTTAATTTGTCATCACAGTAACCTGCAGCCCACCTGAGGACCCCCCGCACGGCTCGTACCTGTGTCAGGGTCACGTGTTCTCGGACCGCTGTGACGTCATGTGTGACGTAGGGTACGTACCGGAAACGGACCACGCCCTGGGCTGCAGCTGGACCGGAAATTGGACCGCCTTCCGCAGAGGGAACACGACAGAGATGGAAAATTTTGTGTCAGCAGGTCGGGAAAAGTCACACATTAATTATTGTTCTTATCAGGGGTTGGATCCATTCAGTATTGTTAAAATGACTATGAACGTATTGTTGAATATAAAGAAACTAGGGCTCAAAATTTTTGGATAGTCTGTTTGCCATGTGTAATCTATTGAAATGTATTCAAATCGACCTTCTATCATTTCTCTTCTTTGCAGACGTTATCATCCCACAGACTCTGGCCTGTGTTATCGCTGACTGTGGAAACATTTCTGTGAGTGGTTTTTACATGTTAGTTACATGCACTACATTTGCCAAACATATTCTTCTGCATAAGCCTCATTACAAAGTAGATGAAGAAACTGGAAAATGGCAACGCTCGGAAAAAGAGAATGAAAATTGATATCTGTGATTACAAATCAGTATGGGCAATGCATGATCATTTCGCCCCGAAGTCTAACAGTCTAAGGTCTTCCTCCCTGCACAGACACCCGCACACGGTGACGTCACCTGTACAGGTACGACGTACGGCGAGACGTGTTATCTCACCTGTCAGGACGGCTACAAACGGCTGGGACAAGACAACTTCACCTGCCAGGTGTATCGACCAACAGCCCAAGCAACCTGGAGTGGGGAGCCTGAGTGTACCCCAGGTAATGTGGCATATCTTAATAGAGCAATGCTATACTGATATTGTACTTATTTGAACGACGGAGTCCAACACGATGCCGCTGTTAAAAGTATCTTTAGATGAATAACATCTGGAACACTTTTTGTTGAAGATATTTACAAAACATTTTTGTATTTTACCAGTGAGTTGCGGCCCCCCTCCTGAGTTCCCTAACACCGCCCTACAGTGCGCCAGCGGACACACCTACGGGAACATCTGCGGAGTCACCTGTGCGGACGGGTACGAAGGAACGAACCACCGGAGCGTAGCTTGTCATAACAGCGGCAACTGGAGCCTACAGACGGGAGGTACGAACTTCTGACGTTCTGTTGCTTTTTCGCGACCATTGGTTTGGTCCCTGAACAGGTCGTAAAAACATCAACGTCTTGTCGCTTGCTAACAACATATATCTTAAAGATATTTACCTTTTTAACTGCAGTACTCCAGCCAGTTGTTGGGGGACCAGATCTGTTCTGTCAGAAGAAAGACTGCGGCAATCTTACCGTAAGTACCTTCTTGACTTGTAAAGTAAAAGCTGAACTAATTAAATGAACCAAATTCCATTTATCATTCACTGTAATTACCCAAGCTATGGTCTTGATGTTCTATAATATTTGCAGCATTAATTTTTCGTTTTAAGTGTTGAATAACGTCGCTCAGAACACTAACAGAATTTTTTCTTAACGCCCAGAGCCCTGCCAACGGCAGCCTGACGTGCAGCGGTACCAGGTACCAGGACTCCTGCCGCCTGACCTGTCAGCCCGGGTACAAAGTCGGCAATGACCAGGACCTTCATCTCCACAGTCTACACAGCTTCAGGTGCATGGCTAGTGGACAATGGAACGACAAGCCCAGGTGAATAAATATTTTCTTATCTTTTAAGATGACTACTGTATTTGTCTTTGGTTCTTTGAATGCCTCGCTCTTGTTCGTCTCATTTACCACTCTGGTAGAACTTGTCGTGAAAAAAACGGAAATATCAATTAAAATTTCGTTCAACTTTTCCCAAGATGCGTCCCATCCGACTACTGCCGGCTCAGTCTGCACGACTGCCACCCTGAGCACGGGATCTGCGACCTGACGGGCCACCAGACCTTCAGCTGCCGCTGCCGGGTCGGGACGGTCGGGGACGGGAGACGCTGTGAACGGACCTCCTGTCCACCTTTCCCGGTAAGATTCTGTTCCCAATCTCTCCATGCCCTCTCCCCTTGATAAAGACAAACATTTTAACATTTGAATTTTAACGAAATAGGGTTTCCAGGGCAAAAGATGTTTCAGAGAGTGTCAGAAATTGAATGGAAGGTAGCCTTCTTGGATATATGAAGGGACCAACATGGTGACTTCACATTGTCTGTAATTTATAAGATCACTTTCAAGTACACCAATTAAGGTGCTGTTTCATTCTCACAGGTCGCTGAACCGGAGAATGGTTACTTCGGGTGTTCTATCCCGGCATCCCCTGCAGCTGACTTCTGCCAATCACCTGACAGCACGGCGGCGGAGTACGAGGTCGTCTGTCTGCTCCACTGTAACCCTGGTTACGACAGGCTGATCTATGCCGAGTACTCCTGTGGACACGACGGGAACTGGACCATCCCATTCAACCTAAACACCACAGGGACCATACCGTGCTTAGGTAAATCAAAAGCATCTTACTCAACTGTAAGTATAGCTGGACATCTCATGTCCTGTATATAGTATCCATCTTTGGATAGAGCCAAACAGCTAGCAAATTAAAATAAAAGATGTGCATCAGTTTATAGCAAACAAAATTTATCCCATTGATATCATAGTTGCAATTCTCGTTTTAAATCTGATTTCTATTTCAGCTGTGAAATGCTCGAACCTGTCCAGTCCCCGACACGGTAGAATGACCTGTGGCAGCGGCTACTATTTCCGGTATCCTGAGGTCTGCAACTTTACCTGTGACTGGGGCTACGAGCTCACGACTCCCGCAAGCAGCAGGGAGAGACGCTGTCAGACTGATGCAACCTGGTCTGGAAACGACGCCGTGTGCATAGGTATGCTGTAACATCGTCTTGACGTTGACTTTATATATAAATGTGTTTTTAGCTTAAGTTAGATGATAAATCTAAATGATACAAGCATCAAGACTTTCAGATGTGATAGAGAGTTAAATGAACATATTGCATTGTTCTCTGTTGGGTGTAAAATGCCCGGATCTGTCGGCACCACAGAACGGAAGGATGGCCTGTAATACCAGCTCTCTTCGCTACCCAGACCCAGACTGGGTTACATTTTGTAGCATGTTGCTAGGCAGAGTAGGGGGCTGGTCAGGATATATACGTAGATGTGTTTGAATAAGAAAAAAAGCAGTAGTTTTTCGGGTAAGGTAAACATAATGCATTCGCTTTGCAAATTTTATGTATTTTTCTCTTTCAGGTGTACAATGCCCGCCCCTGTCCCGTCCAACTAATGGAGGAATGTCCTGTAACAACGGCTCCTCCTTCCGCTACCCCGAGACTTGCAGCTTCGCCTGTAACAGCGGCTACCGGCTGTCAGGAAGCAGCGGTCGGACCTGCCAGGCTGATAGTACTTGGACTGGGAGCGCTGCAGGGTGTATTGGTAATTATACATGAACAATGGCTATTCGGCACCGCTATAATAATCAAGTGAGTTTCTAAATGTGGTGTGAAAGCATTAAACCATCAACAGCAGATAGAAACATGCCGTCAAAAGCAAAATCCATCTTGCTGAGCTGCCTAAAGCCCGTTTATACCATTTCTCAAGTGATTATTTTGCAAAAGTCTCCCAAATTTAAAGTTAGCCATGTTGGTGGTTAAATAGCGTGACCGCAAATTTTAAAGTTACTCTTTCTACTACGTGTTAGACAAAATGACCCCAAATACTACAAGACACTTATAGCAATATGTAACAGAGACGTCTAGTGTATATTAGTCGTAATAAAGTTTCTGATCAATATCATAAGAAAAATTCGTAGACATATTGAAAGTGTAGTAAAAGGCTGTGTTAACATTTCAGTGGAGTGTCCGGCTCTTACCAGCCCCCAGAACGGCAGGGTGGACTGTACTGACCGACTGGTAAACGACAGGTGCACCTTCAGCTGTAACCATGGTTACCACCTGCTGGGGTCATCTCAGGTCGTGTGCGGGTCGGACGGACAGTGGACAGGCACGGTCCCCACCTGCGCAGGTATTTGTTTGACTTGCTTCGCGTTCGAGTTGTTTGCAATATACGCCATATGAAAGTACTTGAAGTCCTTCATACTTTCCTTCATTCACTTATTCATTCACGCTTCACGCTTCACTAACTCATCCATCCATCCATTTATTCATTCATTCACGCATTTACTAATTTGTACTGAATGCTACTTTCTCTTTAGATGACCGCTCGGGGTGTGCTTATAATTCTAAAGTCGGCATGGGAAATTGATAACATTAATTTCGTGGACAGATGCCTGTTATGTGTTTATTTTATAGCTTGTGACAGCGCGGCTGACATCATCTTTTCAATCGACGTTTCTGGGAGTGTATCGGGGCACTTTGCCACAGTCAGGAACTTTATCAATGGTGTAGTAAATTCTCTAACCATCGGAGGAAATCACGCGAGAGTTGGGTTCATCAAATTTCAATTTGACGATGCAGATAAGGTGATTTCCCTCACGGACTACGACAATAAGTCCGATTTGTTGGCAATGATTGGAAGTTTGGGCACGTCGTTAGGCAGCAAAGTTCCCTCTGTCGCGGGTTTGTCCGCTATGCGTAACGAATTCTCAACTTCAGGACGGCCGGCAGCGAGGAAGATCGGGATCGTCCTAACAGACGGCCAAGACAGTTCGAGTAGCGCTGTCATACCTGACTCGCAAACACTGAGGAACGACGGCACCACAATTTTCTGTGTGGGAGTTGCTAGCGTCGGGATTGAAACTCTGAACAACATGGCCAGCAGGCCTGTTAATGACCACGTGTTTACTGCCACGTTCGATAATCTACAGACTATTGTAGACACTCTCCGTCCTAAGGTTTGGTGTTGAATGGGATTTGAGAATGCTGTATTATCATCAGTACAACTTCCTACGCGTTAAAACGTGATTGTCAACATCAATTTGTACTATAGTTATAATGTAATAAGCATCCGATGATACCCATTAGCACCCACCGAATGTGGTCTGGTCAGTTTGCCCTTTAGTAACCTTTGTTGTGGTAATTAGAGGATCTTAGAGTAGTTCGTTGAATCAAAGAAGTCTATGTTTACCTTAGAAGACCAAACTTGATAACACTAACACACCTAATTGTTGGTGTGCTTACATTACTAGATTTACTTAAGAACCCGCTCACTGTCTCTTTGGCACCACATATTTGGCACTCGACGCAGTCTGTACACCATGTACCTGCAACAGCAACAGCAGCGCAATCAAATATGCTACTATCTTCATTCCTTCACAAGTACTATGGTTGGCTGTATGCTGAGATAGGATGTGGAGTATAAAATTTTTACTCGCACCATCCTCATTAAAACAGGTGTGTCAGTCATGTTCCAGACTTGTGATTGCAATACATCTTACGTTATTATCACTGTCATACCTTTATCATCATCATCATCATCATCATCCCTGTCCTTCCAGCTGATGCTAGGCTACACCTTATTCTATTCAGTCATGAATAGAGATTCTGGGTGTTGCCATAATAGACTGATAGCATATACAGTACTATGTATGTGAGGTTCCCCGCAATATATGTATTTCTATGTAAAGCTGAATTATAGTCCCTTACAAAGTACAATCGAATATGGATGACGTGAATAACCTCGGTGACCATTTGAACCACCCTTTTCCTAAATTAGCTTGTCCCAGTGGGTACACATACCATCAGACTAACCGGCTGTGCTACAAGGCGTACGGCCTGGAGAGAGACTACAGCGGTGCTAGGGCAACCTGTTCTTCTGACGGCGGAACCCTCGCCATGCCCCGCGATGCCGTCACCAACACCATCCTCATCAACCTGAAGAATTCCGTCGATAACAGCGCTCACTTTTTTTTCGGACTGACCGACATCCGCCAGGAAGGACGCTGGGTGTGGGAGGATGGTGCTGCTCTTGGAGGTTTCCGACCGTGGGATCAAGGAGAACCCGACAACCGTAAAGGTAACCAGGATTGTGGGGAGTACATTTCCGCGAAGAAAAAGGATACTGCCGCCAGGAACAAATGGAACGATGGTTCGTGTTTTGAAAGAAGGAAGTTCATTTGTCAAGTCGCACCAACTTAACACCATGGCCTTCAAACTATGGCCTCAAACATTTTCCTTCTTTCAGTGTCATGGTATAAAAAGTTTTAATAATAGTTCCTTTGTCTGCTTAACTGCAAAGTTGCCCGCTTGTCTTCTTTTTTGCGTGTTATCAAAGTTTGCCACTTGTGAATGAAGCAACAGGCAGCACTGTCTGTTTTTTGGTTTGGAGGACGCGTAAAAAGCAAAATCTCAAACGACACCTATACAACACGAAACGTTTTGCCATTATTTGCGTGCGGTGATGGCATCTGATTGTACGTGAGTATCTATGTTCCTACTGTAATAAATTTCTGCTTTAACCGAGACGTTTTTCTTTATATCATTCTTTAAATCATCCTCCTGCCAGCTCCAAGAACTTACTACTCCTGTATCACAAACCAGGCACTTCCAGACAATTTTACCTCAAACTTTGAAGCTCTGATTTCCTTCTCTTTGCGACATACACATCCAATAAACATATACATCATGCATAACCATCCGAAGTGTCTCTGGTTATGTAATCGACATACACACACATACATACATACATACATACACCCATACATACATATCAATACCAGATATCTTCATAGTTGTCTTTTAATATGGTCACTATATAAATGTGCTTGATTAGGAATAAACAGACTAGTAGTACTAGCATTTTATTAGGCTAGACCACGTGAAGGTAAACAATATGTGCTGGTAATTGTTTTGCAAATGTTACATGCAAAGTTACAAAGCTGAGGACGAAAAGGTTTTAATTTCTCATCCTAAACTAATTTTACAACCTTAAGTTTACATAGAAATCCTCTACATATCTGATATCTAGGTAAAAAAAATCGCAGTGCATACTTCATTTGACACTGGATATTTTTTTACAACTTGACAGTAGCAACATACCCCCCCCCCACACACACACACACACATGTATCAGCCTCCGTGTAAGGTTGAGATGAAAACTATTCTGTCGTTTTCCTCCAACTGATACTCCAGTTCTCCCTGTAAAGAATCAAATATAAACATAAGACAAGCATTATTAATAGAGCAGCAGCATTAACAAAAACTAACCATCACCAATCATATCATTGTCATTGTGATCTGCCAGTGGTAAATAAAGTGAGCAGTAGACTGGAATTAGTAGGTTTATATTTAAGTATTCACTCACAAATGTCTTGGATGTTCACACTGATTCATATAATTCTAAGGCTTGATGTCAGCCCACCATTAAATGCCCATTATAGACCTCTTATAGACCATTTGATTGGCTTTAAGATAATACTCATTATCCATAGCAAGTAGTTTACAAGATACATGCATCATCCTTTGATGACTTAGTCCAGTACCCTGTTGTTTGATGCAGCTTTGTTTTACAAAGAGGACTATGCCAGCCAAAACCTGTTATGTACACGTGCATGTGCATGTGCATCTCCACAACACTATCATCATCATCATAATCATACACTTAATGAGTTGTAGCATTGAAACTATGAAACATAGTTCAGCTTCCACTAATATATAAGTGCTGCTCACCATGAGTTCCCAATCCACATCATTGACTAGAACCAAGATCCCCGGTCTCCTGCACAAAATGAAATAAAACAAACACATAACTAGGAGCACACTGTAAGGTGTGTAGAGGCTTCTGGTACATTACAGCTGAGACAAATAACTAGAAGGTATTTCTTCTTAAAAAGTTGATGTAGTAATATCTATGCTATGTGATCAGGGCCCAAAATTTATTTTTGGGAATAGGTGTGCTGGTGCAGTGCACCCAAATTGTGTGCATAAAAAAATTTGGGTGCACTATATGAAATAAAGTATTAAGTTCAATAAAGATTTCATCATTGTTTTTAAACGTTAGCTGTTAAGAATATACTACTATAAATACATGTATGTTCACATATGTAAAGCTATGAACATATTTGGGTGCACCAGTGCATACACAAAAAAATTGTGTGCACAGCTCCAATTTTGGTATTTCGAGCCCTGAGTGATAAATTATTGACACGTATACATGAATCTACATCTACAATGGGTATTAAGTCCAGGAAGCCTTACACAGTATCCCCCTGTATGTATGTGATAAGATGTTGATATGTATAGTAGTACATATAAAGCCTTACACAGTATCCCCCTGTATGTACCAGTATGTATGTATGTGATACGTTGCATGTATGTACATATAAACCTTACACAGTATCCCCCTGTATGTACCGGTATGTATGTATGTGAAGTTGTTGATATGTATTTTATAAACCTTACACAGTATCCCCCTGTATGTATGTGATAATGTGTATATAAACCTTACACAGTATCCCCCTGTATGTATGTGATATTGTTGGTATATGTATACTAGTACATATAAACCTTACACAGTATCTCCCTGTACAAACAGCTCTGGTCTCTCCTTCAGCAGATTGTCTCTGATCCACACCAGAAGTGACTTGATGGTCCCTGAAAAAAAACATAGACACATCAAAAGAGAAATCAAGTGAATCAAATGAAATCCTAGAGGCCTAGAGACCACGTGTAGCTCAATAACGGATGTAAAACAACTTGTGGCGTAACTGTAGAGCGTTCGGCTCAAAACCAAGAGGTCCTGGGTTCGAGTCGTGCTACTAGTATGTCACCGATCTTCTGCCCTTGGGGAAAGGTACTTTACACGACTTTCCTCACTTCACTCAGGTGAAAATGAGTATGCCAGAATGATTGTTATCACGATCGTGGGCATTAAAGGAAAAAGCAAACAACATCAAGAACAACACAAGTGTACTCACAAGGCTGGCTGTTCTCTGGCAGTGTGACGTCATGTCTCTTCACCATGTCAAACAACAACTCGGCGCCTCCACTACAGAGGAGGGGTGGTGGGAGAAAAATACTTGGTTTATAAAAGAAGGAAATTATAATCTTGGAAAATACGTGGCTCTAATCTTTAAGACAATATGCAATTTTTTTTGTGTGGGTGGGGGCTCAATTATTTAGTAACATTTGCTACTAGCGGAGTACAGCAGTTGAAGATTTTCTGCCGCTTAAAATCGAGTAAAAACACAACACATAGTACATGTACCGTTTGCAGGGATACAGCTAGCACCATGCACTGCAAAACATGTGTGTAATGGGGGAGGGGAGCGAATACACAACTGACAAACAACGTTTATACTCTACAAATGGCCATTTATAAGACTGCCAAATTACCCCTAGTTAACTATGAAGACTGTAGATTAGAAATTCGAACCAACCTTGGCCGGTAAAGTCTCTAAAACCGCACAAACCTACCTGAATTCTAGAGATATGTTCACTGAGTTCGCCATGCTGATTGTGACCTTTGACATTTGAAGGCATCACAACAGTTGTTGTTGTTTTTCTATTAAGATAAGAACGAGTAAATGCAAAATTAATAAAAAGAACTATCAAAAGATATTTATCTAAAGACTGAATTTGTAAAAAAATATCAGTTGATCAGTTTTCAAGTGATTATAAATATTTTGAACATGTTTGGCTGCGCTGATGACCTCACTTGACCCCAAGATGGCGCCTAGAACGAAAAAGTGAAACTCTTTTCGGTGTTTTCCCCCAATTTATCGCTCAAATAGCCAATATAGAACTTAATGAACCATACTTACCGAAGCCAAGGATCTAAGATACATCCAAGATGAGTAATATCTACATCCAAGAGCCTCCAACGAAAGGGAAAGTGCTTTTGAAGACGTCAGTAGGAGACATAGACCTAGAGCTGTGGTCCAAGGAGGCCCCTCTGGCGTGTCGGAACTTCGTGCAGCTGTGTCTGGAGGGGTATTATAATGGCACGGTCTTCCACAGGTGGGTTTTCTGTAGATGTATGAATGAATAGATGTCTTCCGCAATGACAGTACATTGTTTTTTGCTATAAATTATTTCTAAAGAATTGGACTTTCAAAAATGCCCCTTCAACTTCAAACGTAAACATGCATGCACTAGTATGCATGAATGCACGTTAATGTACATTGTTGCATACTTCAAAGTAATGCTAACTTTCTTAGTATTTTTGTTTGAAGCTATAAGGACAAGTGAGTACATACGGTATTGCCGAAAGTTGTAAATGTATGTGTGCCTTTGTCTTGCTGCAAGGTATTGAGTGTGAGCGTGAGTGCAGGTAGAATAAGTATAAGACAAATCACATTAAACATCCTAAGTGATTTGTGTTCAACTATGATTTTTCTCAGAGTGGTTCGAGGGCTGTGTGTGCAGGGTGGAGACCCCACCGGTACGGGGGAGGGGGGCCAGTCTGTCTACGGAAAACCCTTCAAGGACGAGTTCCACCAGAGGTCAGTTGTAGATGTGAATATTTATCAACTGTTAGTGTTAAGCAGCAATATCTTGAGCTCCGATATGCTCTCATTCCATTACTAGAGACTTAAATGGAAATGTATAAGAAAAGGTTTGATTTGATTGAAGTTTTAACAATACAATACATGTGGGACAAGGCAGCTGTTGCTGGTGTGTCCCACACATAGAAGAAACAAATACGGGACAGACAATACTCATTTTCACCTGAGGTAAGTGAGGAAAGTTGTGTAAAATGCCTTTTTCAAGAGCAGAAGATCGGTGGCATGTCAGGACTCGAACCCAGGACCTCTTGGTTCTGAGCCGAGCACTCTGCCGTTACACCACATGAGTGACATGACCCCACCATGTTCTTTTATAGTATTACGTTATGATTTTTCTGTAACACATAAGTTATGCACATACAACTTATAATAATAATATTATATAAGTTTGGCCTTGTGAGCAGAAGCAATAAACATGGAGGTAGTCATCCTAAACCTGACTTCTCCGCTATTGTTTTCCCAGATTACGATTTGTCAGACGAGGCCTGGTTGCCATGGCAAACTCCGGACCTAACGACAACTGCAGCCAGTTCTTCTTCACACTGGACCGGGCTGACCACCTGCACGGCAAACACACCATCTTCGCTAAGGTGGGGAGGGACAAACAATTGAATTAATGGGTTGATGAATGATAAACCTTCATGTTTATTAAAGTTAAAACTTTTGATCCAACACAAAAAGTTCTCTCACCTAGAGCTTTCGACCAGTCACTCTGGTCTTCCTCAGTAGACTGACCCAGTGAGGCTTGTCATGTGTCACATCACACTTCAAACAAGCCATGTGACAGGCATCACTGGGTCAGTCTACTGAGGGAAACCAGAGTGACTGTGCAAAAGCTCTACATGTAGGTGAGAGAACTACCAACACAGATGAACTTTCATGATATGATAAACCTTCATGTTCATTTGTGTGGTCACTACATATAGCTACTAAGTGCACTGCTGTGGAAAACAGGCAGGGGGAGCTATTGCAACATATACCATGAAAATGTAACCACGCATATGTAATTGAAAATCAAATATTTTTTTTTTCTCTCTCAGTCTCTTGACAATTAAAATTATGTGAAATGCAGTACCAGTATCCAGTATCATCTGTTGAGAAACCTCAGAACAGAAAACTGCCATGACACTAGCCTACTAAATGATACTACTGCGGTCCTCGTCAACGTGACGGACGAACAACACTACTGCAGGTTACAGGAAAGACAGTGTACAACATGCTGAAGTTATGTAATTATAATTGTTGTTACTACTGCAGGTTACAGGAAAGTTTACAACATGCTGAAGTTATGTAATTATAATTGTTGTTACTACTGCAGGTTACAGGAAAGACGGTTTACAACATGCTGAAGCTTGCAGAGGTAGAAGTGGACGGGGAGGACAGGCCGCTGCACCCTCACAAGATCAAGGCCACTGAGGTGGGGTTTGTTGTGTTTGACTATGACAATGAACTTTATTGCATATTCACACCCAACATGGTGCAATGCACAAAGTTAGATAACTTGGGTACAAGTATAGAAGAAACAAGTGTTACATTGCTGCGCTATGTATACATCTATATCTACAGGATATCTTCTCTCTTGTTGAAACATGTATGAACAAATTTACATAGTTCTAGTTACTAGTAGTACTATAGGGACGCATGTGCGCGCGCGTGTGTGTGTCTTTTGGTGGGTGATGGTAGGTAGGTATGGTAAAAAAAGGGTTCTGAAGAGATGAGTTTGTGACAAGGTCTTTGTGAATGTTTCAAAGTTAAAAATTGAACTTACAGTATCTTACACTAAGTTATACTTGTACAGGAAATCTAGTAGATGGCAAATAAAAGCTTTCCAGAAACTGTATGAAGATGCATTTTAATCTTTCATTATATCTTTAGGTCCTCTTCAACCCGTTTGATGACATCGTTCCTCGTGAGATTATTCGGGAGGAGAAGAAGGAGAAGAAAGAAGAGGCGAAGAGCACGGCGAGAGCCACTAAAAACTTCAAACTTCTGTCGTTCGGAGACGAGGCAGAGGAGGATGAAGAGGAGGTACAGATTTCCTGTACCATTTTTTGGCAATGCCACAGGGCAGGAGCCATTTCTTATCACTCACTATCCAGGATTAGATTATACTGCTGCTGCTGTCCCTGCCACAGGGGTCGGCAGCAGTCGGCTAGTAGTACTGGTCTTCACACTGTACCTCCAGGCAGCCCTATCCAGTGGGTCAACACCGGCAAAGCCGCGCTCTCTAATGTTAATTTCTTATATTATCACTATTACAATGACTTCCAGTAAGTGATCATTAACAGTAACAGTTTAATTTTTAACCCCATGATAGGATTGTCTGAATTACGAACATGTATACACACTATGAAATGAAAAATCCAAGAAATATAAAATGGGAGACACAAATAATGAATATATAAATGAATATACATGTTTTGTGAATTTGCCCCCCTCCCGCAGGTGAATGCAGTAACAGAAGAGCTCCGTCCCAAGGGCAAGAGCAGCCATGACCTTCTGAAGGACGACCCGCGGCTCAGCTCAGTCCCCGCCGTCCCCACATCACCCTCTGCTGCAGGTGGGAACTGTTTGTTTCTTATTGCTTTGTGGGTGTTTATGAATGTGTGTGTGTGTGTCCAAAAATAATTTCATCAGGTTGGTAGGACATAGCCACATTTTGGATTGTGATCTCTCTGCAAAAGTGCAACCTACGTCGGCTAGCATATATATAGCATATATATATAGCAGCGAGATCGAGAAGCAGAACTCCTTTCAGAAGATTCTGAGGATGGTGTCTGATAGACACCGGAAAGTAAGCAGGTGAGATACAGTACATACAGGTTGTGTAAGACGAAAATCTCTATATCTGTGTGTGTGTATGTGTGTGTATGCGTGTGTGTGTGCTTCTTTTGCTAGGTATTTGAGTGACAGCACATGGGTTGGTGTGCTTCCTTAACCACAAACCACTAAAGTCCAGACATGTACTAGTTGTAAGAAGTTAGATTGTCAACTCAACAGCTGTCCAAGGGCCAGGCGAAAGTTGGCCTGGACTCTGTTGGCTGCCTGCCTGCAGTGGGAAAATGCATAGAGTGGTAAGACAAAGAAATTAACATTAGGTAGGTCTTGACTAGTGCATCACACCTCTTTATGCTTCCATTTTCACAGATAATCAGAAGAGAAAGAAGCAAGACTCTGACGACAGTTCTGACTCTGACCAAGATTCAGATTCTCCAGACGAGGACAAGGAAGCCATCAAGGAGAAGATCCGGAAAAAGCTGAAGACCACTGCCAACGTCGAGACTCCTGCGGGAGAGGAGAAAGTAGAAACTGATCAGGACACGAAGAGCAGGATCGAAGCCTTGCGGGAAGAGACCAGAGCGCTGAAGAGAGAACTCCAGAGAAGACAGAAGGCAAAACAAGAAGAAGAGGAAGAGAAAGAAAGAATGAAGGAAGAGGAGAAGGAGGAAAAAGAGGACGCCCTGGCAGATTTCCACTCGGAACGACAGAAATACCTGGAGAAGAAACAGAAGGAGAAGAAGAAGGGAGGGTCGAGAGAAGAGGAGACTCTGGCCCTGCTGTCCAAGTTTCAGAACAAACTGTTCTCAGTGAGGAAGGAGTCCACAGGTGAGGAGGAGGAAGAAGAACAAGAGGAAGAGGAGGAGGAGGAGGAGCAACCGTTGGGAGACAGCTGGATGGCACATAGGCTGCACTTCGAGGCACAGCAGGTTTGTTTGTTTGTTATGTTTACCTTCGCAGTATGAAGAAATATTGTATATTTGCTCTGTTTCTTCTTCTCCAAACAGAAAAGGTCAATGACCTGGTCCAGACAACTGTCACCATGGTAACTTGTGTAGCAAACACCCTGTCCTGTTGAATTACATAATTATGTAGCAGGATAGAGTTGGTAGAGTTGGTAAATGTCAGCCATTTCTAATAAGAAAACAGTACTGTTCTATAAAATAAGGAGTCATAGAAAACAGCCACTCTGATGTGGTGATATTAAATGACATGCTGTATCAAATTACACCTGGTGGTGTTGAATTCCAGGTCCAGGCGAAGGATGCGAACGTGGTGACGGCGGACAGCTACGACATCTACGACCCGCGTAACCCGATGAACAAGCGGAGAATGGAGGCCAGCAAACAGGCCATGAAGGAGAAGGGACGCAAATTTGTCAAGGACCAGTAGTGTAGGTAACACTAACAAAGTTTGTGTACGTTTGGTTCAGTTCAGTTTCACATAACTGGTAAACTGCCTTTAGTTATTATAGGTGTAATACACCTTTTATTTTCTTTACTTCAAGATTCACCACAAAACAAGGCTCATGAGAGCGGTGACTCAAAATGTTTTGGGTTACTGTACAGCCAGTGAGGACAGATGTTTGTTGACCTTAGACTTGAAGTTGAAAACTGGTGAACTGCCTTTGGTGTAATACACCAGTTTTGTACAGGAAGTACAAGCTGTGTAATACAAAAAGTTTGTGAAACACCTTGCAGTTGTGTGCAGGTAACAGCTTTGTGTACGTTCGGTTCAGTTTGGTTGAGTTTCACATACATGTAGCTGGTAAACTGCCTTAGGTGTAAACACACCAGTATTATATGATTGTATAGTATGTAGAGGGGGGGGGGGTATATACAAATGTTTGGGATTGTGTTCTCGCCACAAAAGTGCCACCTACATCGGCTACATAAAGTGGCGAAAAGCAGAACTTCAGTCAGAAACTCTGAGGAAGGTGTCTGATACACACCGAAACATAAGCAAGGTGAGATGAATAATTCTTATTCAATTGCTTGTTTTAAAGGCAACTCCTATATCATATACTTTACCAATATGATGAAACTATTTTCGGAAGTATGTAGCAGCGTAAGACCAGACTATAAGGTAAAATGTATTTCATAATGAATTAAAAGACATACTAGTAATTAATTCTTGTCATAAAATACTGTTGCTGAGACTTTCAGTGACTTGATTCTTACTTGTTGTAAATGAATATTATAAATGGTTCCTTGTTAACGTGATAGTACTATGCAGTATATCTTTATTGTTTTTTTTTTTCATTTGAGTGTATAAAAGATGAATCATGAGACGTTTTTAGTTTTTTGTTTGTTGGTTAATTGTTGTTTACTTAAGATGTATGGGAAAAGCACAGTTTGTAATTATAGTTACATGTTACTACACCATGATGTTGCTATACGTGATGTTACTATACGTGATGTTACTATACCTGGTATTTCCCGTTTCCTAGGTGTCATACACTGTATGTGACGTTATCAAACCTTCCAGTATATCTATGATTCCAACATTCCTGCTCTGCACGAAAGGAGTGTTGTTCTTTTTTACTTGTCCTGCTTTCCTTTGAGTTCCAATGAAAGCAATGTAGCATTGCTATGCATTCACATTGCTGCTACTTTTGTCTGTGGGACTGCAAAGGTCACAAAGTGGTATGGACATTGGGGTGAAGTCTGCCATCTATGATTGACTGTATAAGTCTAAGTCTTGTCAGGTCCCAAGTTTGACCCTACATAACCTCTGTACCATCATTCACCAATGCCTTGCTCAGTCTTGTTCTCACTTATTCCACCACCTACGTTCACAGCCCTTATTGACAACTCTGTAAAGACGACAAACCCATTTGTGCAGAGTATACACATATTTATTTTCCTGCAGACAAAAGACCACGAAAAGTCTTAAACCTACAAAAAGAAAAGTACGAAACAAAAGTGAAAAGGAAAGTATTAAAAGAGAAAAGGTCCCAGTACTGGGTCCTTCACCAGCTAGTTACTACATGAGGAGTTAAAGGTAAGGGCCTAATGATGGATCATACACATGGGCATGTGCATCTGCAGCCACTCAGGGTGCCAGTAGAAGCCGTCCCACCTGTACTCGCAAACCTGCAGAACGGAACAACAAGGAACAACGTCAGGGCAAAGGCAGAACGGAACAACAAAGAACAACGTCAGGGCAAAGGCAGAACGGAACAACAAGGAACAACGTCAGGGCAAAGGCACTACCGTGAGATGTATGTGCATAACCACTGTGATACGAGTAGTAATCTACCACAAACTGTGGAATGCCCTTTTGGGTTCTTTTTGCAACATCTTAAACCGGAAGATTTTACAGTCCCTATTTTTAAATCTCAAAAGCAACGTTTCAGGATACGCGTGGACTATGCATAATCTAGCTGGCCTGAGCTTGGTTCTGGATAAAGCACGGTTCTGGATAAAGCACGGTTCTGGATAAAGCACCGTTCTGGATAAAGCACGGTTCTGGATATGCGTATTATGCAGAACCTTGCCTGAGCTTACTTCTGGATAAAGCACGGTTCGCGTGGACTATACAAAGCCGTGCTTGAGCTTGGTTCTGGACGAATGATAACCTTTATTGTACGTTCATGCCCTATCGGGCTAAGTACAGGTGAACAGATGAAGAGATATATAACATATTGATATAGCACGGATTTTAATTGAGATTTTGTGCGTGCGTTTTTTTTTTCTCATTTCATTATCTCATCGTGCGTTATATTGAGCAAGCGTTGTGCAGTTTATCTGAACACTGCCGCTGCTCACCGTGCACGGGGCTTTGGGCTTAGCAACGAGGATTTTAGCCTAGGAACGGGATGATCGTGTCCCTCCTCACCTCGGTGAAGGGCTTCTTGATGGACTTCTGCCTGAGGATGGAGGTGAGAGCGGAGGTGTGCTTGGGCACGAACACGTCCAGGTAAGACTCGTGCAGGCGGGTGCAGGTGCCGAAGGGAGTCACGGTGATCTGGGTCTCGGGAACCTGGATGTCGTCAAACCAGTTGTGGGACAGCTCGTGGCGGATCCAGAACTGCTCGTTACCTGGAGAGGATCAATAACCAATAAATAACCTATCAATAACAAGAGTCAAGAGCCACATGGCGTGTAGGTGATGTGGTTGAAAACGACCACGTAAATGACAGTGCCCCCCCCCCAAGTGTACACTAACAAGCCTGAGTGGGAGAGCGACATTCCCAGCACACATTATAGTACGATATTTACCCCAGAGCTGGTGGCTCCACATGTCCCTCTCCCAGCGCTAACCCCGCCCCGGCTAGCCTACCATAGTCTGGCTCCCAGGCCGCTAAAGCTTACCCCAGAGCTGGTGGCTCCACATGTCCCTCTCCCAGCGCTCGGAGTCGTAGCGGTGCTCGGGCAGCTTCCAGTACTCGTCCACGGACCAGGTGGGCACGTAGACGATCTCGTCGCAGGGCACGTACTCGCAGGCGGTGGGCAGCATCACGGACTTGATGTAGCCCAGGCCGGTCTCGCAGGTGAACTCAACGTACTGGCGCACGAAGGTGGTGGGGCGGCTGGGGGCGGAGACAAGGAAGGATTTTTTTTAATATTCCAACAGTAATCACAAGACGTGGTGACGGCACACTCAAGTTTGTGAACTTACCTGCTAGTAAGATAGAGGTGCGCCTTACATGCATGCTACTGTTAGGCAAGTAGCAATGCATCTTACCTGCTAGCGAAGTAGCAGTGCACCTTAACCTAGGAAGTCAGTTTGCCTTACCTGCACATCTTGATGGTGTACGGGATCTTCTTGCCGACGCGGTTGATGAAGACAGTCTTGTTGATGGACTCTCCGTAGCAGGTCAGGTCCTGAACCTTGGCGTTGCAGGTGCCGTTACGCTGGAACACGATGTTGCTGAAGGTCTGGCCGTGAGCGGTGTACTTGTTGATGTAGGGGTGGTACTCGACTGTGGGAAGAACATGATAATTTTAGGACTCAGAGGTATACACAATACAGACCAAAGTTGTATGTAGATTGTCGAACATCTAACGGCTATATCATTGCATTATGGGTATATGCAGGAACTTGCCCGTGAGCGGTCTACTTGATGTAAGGTTGGTACTCGACTGGGGGAGGACAGGAAGGTTTTAACATCTGATGTATCTCCTTGTAATCTAGTGGCTACATAATGACATTAGAGCATGGGGCCCATGGTGATCTTGTAGGTCTGAGCTAAGCTAGATTAGTGTTGAACTTAAGGATTGCAGAACTTGGATTAATCTTGGGGATTGCAAGAGCAGGACTTACAGGTAGATGGCAGGATGAGGGCCTCCAGAGAGTGCATGAGCATGGGGCCCATGGTGATCTCGTAGGTCTGGTTGACCAGGCTGATGGGGCTGAGCTGGATGCACTTGTGGTGGAAGCAGGAGTGCTCGCCGAACATGGTGAAGCCCCACTCGTTCTGGCTGCTGGTGCTGAAGATCTTCTGGGCCTCCAGCAGAGCCTTGGTCACCTTCCAGCGCCAGATGCCTGCAGAACGGGAAAAAGCATCTCAGGCTCAGCAATCTGTATATAATGGCTAAGACTCTGTAATGGAGGGCTTTTGAGCTTTAAGGAAGGCCAGCGTAGTAGCAGTACGTGCGAAGTAGCAGATAAAAAAGCACCCGGAAAGAGTCAGCGAAGGTGCAGTATTCTGCTACTTTGCTGTAATGGTCCAGGCTAAAGGGATCCTAGGTGCAGATCTTCCTCAACTCTGATCTTCGTGTTTCATTAGGCCAAGGATTATACGACGGTTCAAAGTCAAAGGAATCTATGAAGAAGTTTTCGAGCGTCACAAGAGTTCTAAACGGCATCACCATGATTCGTCAGTGTTTAGCAACTCTTCAAAGCAGTTCCTGGCTATATCATACAAAGTGTATTCATTATTTAGGCATGTTGAGCTAGTAAATGAGTGTGATAAAGGGATACTAACCGTCGCGCAGGTGAGAGGTCATCATGACGGGCATGGGCACGTAGCCGAAGTGGCACTGCAGGATGGACTTGTGGTCCACGTACTGGATGGTCTTGCCTGCAAAATGACACGTAATATAAGAAAGTTAGAAGTGGTAGACGGCGGGAACAAAAGGGTTAGAACAAGTATGGGGGCCTATATGAGAAGTTTAGCTTTGGACTTTTATGTTTTGCTGGATGTGTCACTTATTGGGCAAATTAGCTTAGCATGTGGTTCCTCAATAGCTAACCAAATTTAGGGCAATACTATATATATAGTCTTAAACTCTTGCACAATGTTTTTGGAGATGTTGTTGTTGGATACAGAAATAGATATGAGTACCGCCCTGCGTCCTGTGTTGTATCTAAAGACGTTCTTTATAGTATATGAAAACGTTCTGTGTTGTATCTTAAGTTCCTTACCGTTGGGGCAGACGAGCATGATGTCCCTCTTGCGGATCTCCACATCCTTGATGAGGTCCTCGATCAGGTGGGACTCGAGGAAGGTGATGTCGCCGCGCAGGTCCTTGAGGCAGTGCATGCTGCCCTTGTAGTGGTAGAAGGGCTCAGACACGGTCTCGGTGCAGCGGTGGTCCTTGTAGCCGGAGCAGGACTCGCACAGGTGCTCACGGTGCTCCTGTGGGTTGTAGAAATTTGTGAATACATCCCGTTAGTAGTTTTGGTTGGTTTGGTTTTTCTTTAAAGCCCACGATCATGATAATGATCATTCTGACTCATTTTTACCTGAGCGAAGTCGTTTAAAGTTCCTTTCCCAAGGGCACATGATCGGTGACTTGGAAGGATTCTGACCAGAGCCGAATGCTCTGCCGTTACGCCACGCAACACCGCAAAACAAGTTTTAGAGGTGGGTACAACCTATTGTAGTATAAAGCCGGATAATGCATTCACATGCAATCCCATGGAGTTCCTTTGGATAGTAGGAATATGTAATTGCATCAGTTTTAGAGATCTGTAGTAGCGTATAGTGAGGACCAGAAAATGGGCACAGCACGTGTGGTTTAATGTGTACTCAAGACTGGTATTGTTTTGCTAGTTTCTCTAGTAACCCTAGAGACACATAGCAGAAACGTACCATCATCTTCTGGAGGAAGGTCTCGTAGTAGGGCTGCTTCCAGATGGGGTTGGTGTAGCGGTTGACGAAGGTCTTGAAGATGGGAGACTCCATCATGGTCAGGTACTGGGTCATCACGGGCAGGATGTTGATCAGGGGGCTCTTCCAGGGCTCAACGGTCAGCTGCTCCTCGAGCTAAGGTAAACAAACAAACAAACAAACAAACAAACAAGTCAGTAAGAGGCTCTTCCAGGGCTCAACGGTCAGCTGCTCCTCGAGCTAACGTAAACAAACAAACAAACAAACAAATCAGTGAGGGTTTCTTCCAGGGCTCAACGGTCAGCTGCTCCTCCAGCTAACAAACAAACAAATAAATCAGTAATGGGCTCCCCAAGCTAATG